TACAATTGTGACTGACCATAAAATACAATGTTTCACACACTTTTCGAAAACATTTTTTTTTTTGCATATTTCAAAGGGTTACTAATGACACATCATTTGGACATTTTCATGTCTGGGAAAAATTTGGGATTAATCAGGTTAAAATGCGTTTTAAACAAAGTTAAGTGGTTTTCATTACCCATTTTACTCTTAGCAATTTAATAAATTTCATAATTTAAAAGTTTAGTGCAGAAGTATCGAATCGGTATCGATATCGACGATACTGCCTTGAAAAATATCAGTATCGTATCGAAAACAAAATAAGGAGTATCGCCCATCCCTATGATACAGAGAGCTGCAAAGTTACTTTTAAAAGTAACCGTGCCAGTCTCCTATTGGCTGGAGTCTGAATACGTTCCAAGCCAATCAGTGAACTTCTCTCCGAACTTCAAACCCCACCCTCTTTCTCAAGCACGTGTCACATAGTAGTAGTGTAATTGTAGACAATGCCTCTTAGATTATTTTGTTTTATTTAATTTATTATTTTCTTATATTATTTTTTTCTCAAATTAGTTTTTTTATATTTATCTTATTTATATGAAAATTTGTATGACTTTTTTTTTTATGCAGATCCCTTTAGATTACAGTTATACTGTGCTGTATGAACTTGCCTTGCATATTCATTATTTTATTGTTTGATGTATTATTAATAATAATAATAATAATGATAATATACAATAATGTACTCATGGCAACATGATACTTTCATTGGACAGATGACTGATGATATAATGTCTTTATCACAAATTAGTTGGTGACTCTTAAAAGAGAGTTTTATTTTTAAATAAAACAGAAGGGAAAAAATGACTTTATTTCTTTCTGGCTGCTATCTTTTTAGGTTTGGCTGCTTTGGGTTTCGTCGTCTTGGGTTTGGCTGCCTTGGTCTTTTTAGGGCTCTTGGCTGCTTTCTTTGGAGTCGCTGGTTTCTTTGCTTTTTTGTGGCTCTTCGTTGCCTTTTTAGCAGTGGGTTTCTTGGCCTGCTTTGGGGATTTCTTAGCGGCGGGCTTCTTCGCTGCTGCGGTCTTGGGCTTCTTTAGCGGCGGCAGGTTTCTTGGCTGCGGGCTTCTTGGCTTTAGGAGCGGCTTTCTTTGCTGGTTTTGTCTTGGTCTCGGCTTGTTTCTTGTTGAGCTTGAACGAGCCGGAGGCACAACACAAGTGTTTGTGTTTTCTTCTCTTATGTTTGGAATAAAACTGAAGTGGAAAATGTTTGGACAATGGCTTTAATAAAAGAAACATCACTGAGGGATTTGTGGAGTGTTTCATTCATAAGTTTTTTTTGAGCAGCTTGAAGCACATGACACATCTGTCGGTAACTGCTCTTCATCTCCAATCACTGCTGCATGTCTT